GAGGATGCGATCCTTTCCCACCCCAATATATATATATATATATATATATATATATATATATATATATATATATATATATATATATATATATATATATATATATATAATAGCTGATCATTCATATTCGAGGATACCTGTCTATTAGGGCGGCTAACCAATCCATATTGCTGAAGCTCGCTCAACAGATATTAGTTACAGTTTCTGGTAGAGATCGTGTTATATAGCGTGATCAAAAATTTGAACAAGGCCAGCACGCTCAAACCCTTTGTGCTAAGCAATGTTAGAGCTATCGATTTAGAATGGAAAAAAGTTCCGTCTACAGAATTTCACTTACAAGGCTTGGGTCAACACATGGCATTGTTTTCAGGCACTTTCCAAAGGTGCCGCTCGCTGGGATCGACCTGTACCCATTCCGATAACATCAGGATGTCTCCTTCCTGATAAATCGACCATCGTGAAATTCGAACCCGGGTCTCATGATCAGAAACATTCTAACTACTCGGCGATTAACACGTATGTGAATATAATGGATTCGACTGGAATTCAAAGTCGGGAAAAATTCGTCAATCAGAGCCTTTTTTTTTTTCCCACTATCTACTAGATCAGCAATATATTCAATATATATATATATATATATATATATATATATATATATATATATATATATATATATATATATATATATATATATATAAAATATACACTATTGTCCTCACTTTTTGTTGATTTTATCAATATTAAACAAAAAAATGCCATTTTTGATGCCTTATAACAAATTTAGTATAGAAAAAATAATATGTAAACTGCTAGAAATGGATAAAAATAAAACATTAAAAAATATAAAGGATATATATATATATATATATATATATATATATATATATATATATATATATCTTTCTTCAATCTTCTTTCATTGATTTTGTTTGTTAGTTAGGAAAAAAAAAGCTTGTTAGTTAGGAAAAAACTCGTCGACTCATAAAAATTAATGATTATTTTTCCGTGAACTAATTTTAGAAGAGATGATGTAATATCGATCTACTATAGCGGGTATACCTGAGTTTTTATAGAGTTATTGGACATAACTGCTATTTATAATTGCCAATTGCGCAAAACTGTCATCATATAATAATAATAATAATAATAATAATAATAATAATAAATTGTTATTAAAGACCACAAACAAAAACGATGTCTCCTTGTTGATATGGCAGTCCCTGCTGACTGCAATGTACCTTTGAAGATATTAAAAAGCTGTCAAAATACAAGGATCTTGAAATAGATATCTCGAAAATGTGGCATATCAACAATCCCTGTTGTAGTTGAAGCCCTAGGAATGGTTGGAAAAGATTCCAGTAGACTAATTGAAGGGATTCCTGGAAGTCCATGACTCAAAGAGATACAAAAAATTGTTCTGACAAGTACAGCCCATACTTTATGAAGGGCTTTATCTATGTAATTTTTGTCAGTGGAAAGCCTTTGTCATGAACCTCTTATTTCTAACCTTAAGTCCCTGGGTGGGACACGGAAAGAAATGTGTAAACGCCAGAAATCAAATAAAATAAATAATAATAATAATAATAGTGGACCAAATGCAGAAACAATTGCAAGGTAAACATCTTCATTTTCAATACTCTGTCCGTACCATGTTCACAAACACTAAACCCATCAGTGGTTACGTAGTGCAGGAAGAAAATTATTGAAAAGTTGATGGTTTTATTCTTGTTGCACAGGATCAATTATTTGCATAACAAGAAAATATCAAGCAAGCATACTTCCTCATTTTTCTTCTCATAGAATCGCCACACCACATCCATTCCGTTTTGCACACAAACCTCTGTTTTGTTAAGATTTCGAGGTTGTTAATTGTGCATATATTTTCAAGATTGGGGAAAACTAGAAGATGGCCCATAGTGTGTGATTGCCAGTTGGGAACAATATCGGTGTTATATCCCCATTTCTGAAGGTTGGGTTTACCAAAAGCTGTTCGGGGGCGATTTAAGAAGGACCAGAAAGGCCAGGTATCACTGGAGCCAGTATGTAGGGATTTAGTTCTCGATTATTTGTAACTTTTTACTATATTTTTTAAAAGTTTATATGGAGATTTTTTTCGGAAGCTCATAAAGGGGATAAGACATATTTATCTTAAATATAAGAATATATACTTTGTCAACCCATGTAAATTTTGGCATATCTAAATATTTTCTCTTTATTTAAAATAAAGATTTCTGTAAAACGTCTTAGATAACTGTCTATAATTCTGAGATGAGGTATTATGTACATTATTTACATTTGTCGGACTATTGTCCTCATCTTTGTCGCCATATTTATTACAACGTTTCGGCCGTTCAGTATCTGTCTATATTTCTGAGATGATGTATTATGTACATTATTTACATTAGTCGGACTATTGTCCTCATCTTTGCCGCTATATTTATTACAAAGTTTCGGCTGTTGTACGCTCCAGCCTTCTTCCCAGAAATTCATACATGGATAAAGGCGTTGGTTAGATCCAGTGACTGGACCCAAAGAGTGTGAGTTCAATATCCGGTTAAGGCAGTGGAGAATTAACAGGAGATACCTGATAACTGACACCCATTAAACATTGCACGTTGAACTAGAAGAGTCTACCCCAGAGAGCAAAATAAAAGGTTCAGTTCGATATTCTAACCGCCTGAAGAAGGCCGGAGCGTACAACGGCCGAAACGTTGTGATAAATATGGCATCAAAGATGAGGTCAATAGTCCGAATAATGTAAATAGTGTACATAATACCTAATCTCAGAAATATAGAAAGATACCAATACATTTGCAAAACCAAATTTAGCAAAGGATTTCTTTTGTTCCTGCCTTATTGGACATGTTTGGTTTGTCTCGATGGTCTAAATTGGTTATAACTTGCCCTTAAGCTATTTAGTGCCGTGACACCTGCAGCGTAAATTATACTTATCTGGCACCAACCTGTAATCCGTATTGATAATCCCAAGAAGAATGAAATCCAGAGAGCTCAATGTTAAATCAGAGCGAATAACTTAATTTAAAGAAAACCATACAACTTTAATGTTCTATAAGGTTATAATCTTCCCGCACTTAAATTTAAACTTACACTTTTGGAGGGTAGTATTAGCCGATGTAAGATGATATCGAGAGTGGTAAGAGATAGTGCGACAGACATGGTCGAAATTAGAGATCGTAATGTTTTTTAAATGTAATTTTATTACAATACTTAATAGAAAGGGAGTGGGTAAGGATCAGACATTGACCTCTTTAATAATTCAACTCCCCGGAAATAATATAAAGAGAGAGAAAAAGGAAGAAGAGAAGTCATGATGTAAGAAATAAGGGATGGACTTCGGGTTTTTAAAGAAAAGAGATGGAGATAAAAAAAAAACTTAGAGAGGGAAATTATGACAATTAATGTATGTGGGCATATCACTGCCAAACTGGAAAAACACAGATTTATATATTTAAAAAAAATCTTAAAATATTTGATACTAATTTAAGTGTTTCAATCCTCCACAAATAAAATAGGAATTTAATAGAACTTGAATATTGTATCAATAAACAAAATACAAAAAAAAATTCCTAATATTAATATTTTAATATTATGAGTAATGGTTAAGGATGAATATTTCTTAGTTAAAATTTAACTCATCAATTTAATTAGAAACTATTTCTTAATTAAAGTTTAACTATGTAAATCTAATTTGAAACTATTTCAAGAAGAAGGTTTGAATGTAATAAAAAAATTCTCTGACTTTAAATTTAAAATATATAGATATATAGACATACACGTGTACATATATACATATCCACACACATACTCACACACACATATATATATGCATACATATGCATACATATATACCTCATACATATATTCATATACACCACGTATATATTTACGTAAATATATATACACACATGAACTTGCCTACAAATATAACTACACATACAACAACGTACACATGTATTGATACACACACATATACATACATAAACTTACATATCTACACACAAACAACACACACATACACACACACACACACACATATATATAAATATATATATATATATATATATATATATATATATATATATATATATATATATATACATTCACCTACACATTTACACATTCAACATATATATACATATTTAAATTTCCTTTGAAGTTTTGGTTAATGTTTGATAGTAATTTAAGTATTTACATTCACCACAAAATAAATTAGGATTAAAAATAAAAATAAAAAAATAAATAAATTACTAATTTTAATATTATTAATGTTGTGAATAACGGTTAAGGAGTAATATTTCATAATTAAAATCTAAGTCATCAATTCAATTTGAATATTTCGAGATGAATAATATTTCTGTCTTCAAATCTGATTTGAAACTATTTCAAGATCAAGCAAGAATTGAAGGTTTTAGTCAAAAGATTCATTGTCTTTATATTTAATCTATCTATCTATCTATCTATCTATATATATATATATATATATATATATATACAAACATATATACATATATACATACATATGCATACATACATATCTTATACATATATTCATACACACCACATACATATTTTTAAGTCAATATATATACATATACTCATATAGTCGTATACATATACAGATACATATACAACCACTTACATATGTATCGATGCACAGAAATATACATACATAGCCTTACATATACACACACATATACATCCATATATACATTTACACACGCATCTATATATATATATATATATATATATATATATATACATTTACTAAAAAATGAACACAAATGGGCATGTCCCAATACTCCTAAATACGTTGGACGCTATTGTAAGAGGTGGGTATTATGCTGTCTAAGTAGTTCACAACTAGCAGTGGTTTACCTATTTCACGCTGCTGGCAAGTATTGTATTTTGTTGATGTTATAAAGATTACCATTTCATTTCCAACCTCCGTTTTAGTTATTCCTTTTCTAGGTTACAACAAATACAATAGATAGATAGATAGCCAGGCTGTGATAGATAGATAGATGATAGATAGATAGATAGATAGATAGATAGATAGATAGATAGATAGATAGATAAGAAACAGACCATAATAGTGTTATATCCCGTACCTGCGTTTTGGTTATTCCTCATTTAATTATCCTTTCTAGGTTACAACAGTAACGTACAGGGAATTCTTAATTGAACCCTTTATTTAATCTAGCAGATAAACTGGTCTGGTTCCGCTACATTTGCAAGTGTATCTTGATATGAGTAACTGTTATATGCCGTACCTATACTGTACCTAATGGGTATGTCCCAATACTAATAAATACGTTGGACACTATTCCAAGTAGCGGTAATATGATGTCTAAGTAGTCCACTAATAGCAGTGGTTTACCTATTTCCCTCCGCTGGCGAGTATTGTATATTGTTAATGCTATAAAGGTTATTATTTTCATTTCCAACCTCCGTTTTGGTTATTCCTCATTCAGTAATCTTTATAACAGTTGGTATCATTTCTTGCAAGAAGCAAAATGCAGAAGGAGATATTGTGAATGATTATCATCTTCTAAACCAGTTACCCATCAGCACATGTTGGCTTGTCTCACACTGCTGAAAACACAGCATGCCAATAATTATCTTAGCGGAAGGCATTTTCACACCTCTCTTGATTCAGCACTACTGTTTCGCGCGTTTTCTGATATTAAAAACTTAAAGAAATTTTATCACTGTCAGGATTTTACAGCACAAGAGACTCAAACCCTCATTTTGCTGTGCGAGGCGTCAAAACTTTTACAGTTTTTGTCTCGATTACAATAAATGAAATATAAAAAAAATAAGCCATTTATGTTTTTCTTTCTCTATTTATTGGATCATTATTATTGTGATTACTATTACTCTACCTGTTCCGTAAAAAAAAATGGCGGCAACTGTCAGTAAGTTTTGATAGCGAGATGCAATTAAACAAAAGTCTTGAAACAATTTATTTAGTTTCAATAATGAACAGAGATAAAGAATTTACAAATGCAATAGAGGAAAATGAAAGGGCTGGTTAAGTTTAATGCATCAGAAACAAAACGGCTCTCTATTACCAACCACAGAGAACAAATTCTTCCTCCCATTAGAATGTCTGATGCTCACCTCTACGAGAGCACCTCTTTGCAACTGCTTTGTCTCACATTGTCCTCTCACCTGAGATGGAACAAATACATTGAATCAATAGCGTCAACGACCGTAAGGAAAGTTAGTTCTCTGTGTCGCACCAGAAAGTTTTTTTTTCTCGCCAGAGTCCATCCTTGAAATCTGTAAACCAACCATTCGCCCTTGCATGGAATACTACCGTCATATATGGTCTGTAGCCCCCACTGTTCGTCTTAAGATTCTCGAAAAAATCCAGAGACAGATATGCAATATGGTTGACCTTGTTCTGGCATCTCGTTTACAGTTGCTCTCTTAAAGACGTGCCGTCACCTCCTTCTGTCTTTTCTATAAATACTTTCACAGTAGCTGCTCCGACGAACTACTTTCGTTAATTCCCAAACTGTTACTAGCTTGGCATCTCATCCTACCCTTTCACTATCAAAATGGTTAAATGTACTCGTCTCGTCTACTCCAATACTTTCATGTCTCGCACTTCCCGTCTGGGAAACTCCCTTCCTCTTACTTCTTTCCCTGATAGCTATAATCTCCATCTATTAAAATGTAATGTCAATCGACATCTCCAGATGCCTTGATCTATTCCCAGTCCTTCTCCACATGTACCACTCCTCTTTACTCTTGCTCCCGCTCTGTGTAACCCCTTGCGTGCTAGTGGCCCTCCCGCCTTGCTTGGGTAAAAAGCTTACAACAAACGTTTAATTGTTGCCTTCCCGTTATATATTTTAGATCTTAAATGTTATGATTCATTGTTTATTACTGTTATTTTGAAAATCGTTTTTAGTTCAGTATCTTTAACTATTAAACATTAAATGTTTAATATAAACGAGAAATGGAGAAATCTCTCGATTAGATTAGAAACAGAACGATAAAAACAAGGATCTCGATCGCTGAAAGAGAAGACGTTAAGAAGACAGAAGATAACGATTTACATTGCATTGAAATTTCGGGAACTTTCATTACATTTAATATAATATTTATTATTAATAACCTTTGTTGACAGTATTATTGTAAAAACAATTCTCTCTTCCACTTCACATACGTTAATTATATAAATTTAAGCAAATCAGTAAGAGTTATTATTAATTTTATTATTTATGAAATGTACACGTGTATCCAGGCCATCAAAAATGACGGCATTTTTAGAAAGTTTTACAAGTGCGATGCAATGAAACAACAGTTTTGAAATAATATACTGACATTTAATAAAGGGGGGGGAGAATTCAAAAGAAAAATAGGGGTCAATGAACAGTTTAATTAGCCCGTCCCCTTTATATTTCAGTGCTCTCTATGATTAATTGATTACTCCTGGTATTATATAAATCATTCTTTGGTTTGGTTTGACTTGTTTTACAGCATATCAACACCACAATGGGTTATTTAATACCCACAAGATTTTTATTGCTGCTAATATTTTTATCTATCTATCTATCTATCTATCTATCTATCTATCTCAGAATATTTTGGTTTAGTTTGGTTTGTTTTACGGCATATCAACCTCAATGGCTTATTGAATGCCGACAAAATTTTTATTGTTGCTAATTTTTTTTTTTTCAAAAATATATTGCTGGTAATAATTTTTCTTCAAAAATTTATTGCTGATTATAATTTTTACAAAAATGTATTGCTAGCGATCAAACCTATTTTTTACACTTTCATAGTGTTTTTATCCCAGTTTGGTGGGTTCGGCTATTTTAAGAGGGGCCCAACAAGTGCTATCAACACGGGTTAGGGTGAACCTGAGGACACCAGCATTTAAAAGGTTGTTCTACGCTCCTCAAAATCGTCTTGCTGTTTGATGTAGTTTATCGTCATACACAGGGTACGGATGTAGTTTATCGTCATACTTAGGACGCGAGTGTAGTTTTATCGTCGTACCCTGGTCGTGGAAATATTTTATCGCCATACACAGAACGATCGTTATTTGCTAAGTATTGTCACCTGTTAAACATTTTGCGTCTAATATAAAGGTGAAATGAAAATATCTCGCGATTAGATTAGAAACAGAACGATAAAAACTGCGACGACAAAATCTACTTTAAGATCACGTTGAATCAAGACGATCACTTAATAGATATAGGTATCTGTGTGCCTCACATATAGGCTATAAAAATAAGACTGCAATATAAGAGACGTGGAATAAAGGGAACTGATTAACTAAAACTGTTTTGCTTAGGGACTGATTTTTGCCTAAATGTAGATAAATATTTTATTTGTATAGGGCACTAAAACGATCAATGGATGTAATCACATGTATATTTACTAGTTTAAGTTGATTTACCTTCGTACTCACTAAACATGGGACAGGAAATATATAAATAAACGAACTGATTATTATTATATGGCCTGATTATTGTTGAGGGGTTTTCCCCTTTTTGCACAAATGGACTAACCCAGTATATACATATACTACGGCTACGTGAAGCCCCGAGAGCAAGACCAAAGAGTCGAGTCCAGAGTGACAGAGTAAAAGGTTGTAGGTAACCGGAAGAGTGAGGGGTGAGGTAACAGCGTTGTAGGAGTCACAGTGAGCAGGCACGTAGACTCAGTCAGAAGTCATACACTTCAATATCAAAGACAGTATAGATATTTTGCTACTAACCCGTATTCCTGGAACTACTAACCTGCATTACCAGTTTGTATTATTACGTTAATACAGTATTTTCATATATTCATTCCTGGCGTTTGTTATTTATTGGTACCGGATTTCAACCCGGAATCCACAACAATTATACACGTCAATTTAGTAGGTACAGGTTTTTGTGAAGACACCCATATTTATTTACAAACATGGACCTTAACATCAACCAGCCTAGATCACTGAAAGTCTAAAGAAGACTTACATGTAAGCAAGGATATAAACTAAATACAAACGAAATGTATATTTATAAATACATATAAAACATATTGCACAGGGAAACGTATATTTTATTAACATAATATTGAATACACCTAAATAATTTATTATTTTATAAAGGTTGTTCCAATGATTTGAAACTATTTTAAATATGAATTAAGTTTAAGCGTTTAATACTATTTGTTTTTCTTTCAGATTTAACAACATAAATCTTTGGCATTTTCAACCATACAAAGATTAACAATCAAACAACGAAAATGGACGTTCAAACAGGAATGTATTTTGTGCGCTTCGCGATTATTTCAATGTTTATTGCAATGTTTTCAGCTGAATGGCGTAAACGAGCAAGCAATGGGGTTTTCACATCTGCCACTGACCCAGTTTGTTGGAATTTACGAACAATTTTTCCAATTGCTCTCTTGAAACTTTAAAGCGTTGTTTGATTGTTAATTTTTCCAAGTTTGAAATTGCCAAAGAAATAAGTTGTTACATCTGAAAAAAAAAAAAAAAATGCTTAAACTTTTTTCAAATTTAAATCAGGTCTAGTTATTGGAACACCTTTGAAATCTTTTTCCATAGAACGATTTAAAATGTTTTTATAATCTCTTATAATAAAAAATATAATAATAATAATAATATATTTTCTACTTTGTAAAAAGCAATTTTTAAAAAAGTCAATGCTGCGAATTGTGGATTTTTAATTCATTTGTTTCTTTCTCCCATTTGGTATATATATATATATATATATATATATATATATATATATATATATATATAAAATAATTGATTTAAAATATGGTTTTTTTTCTACACAATTCTAACCATGTTTCAAAAAAGAAGCTAAAAAGCATTGAATTTAATTTTGCAATTAAATTAAAAGCATTATTTCCATTTCATCTTCAAGTAAATTCAGCTTGAAGATGAAATAGAACAAATCAAAAGCATATTTAAATCAATTAATTTATAATATTAATGTTCTGTAAATTTACATTGAGCACTATTTTGTAAAAATAAAACTATCTATAAGAACACCGGATTATATATCTTACTGTTCTTTCTTTTTTTTTTAGAGAATATTTATATATATATATATATA